GGTTGCGCTGCACGATGCGCTGCCGCCGGCTCTGCTGGCAGAAGCCGTACAGGAACGCCGTCAGCTGCGCGCACGACTCCTCGGGGGCCCGGAACCGCCGGTCCACGATGTAGATCCCTGCGGGGACACAGAGGGGCACATGGGGACACCGAGGGGGACATGGGGACACTGATGGGGACATGGGGACACGGACAGGGACAGGGACATGGGGACACCCCAGCCCCACGATGTAGATCCCTGCGGGGCCACCGAGGGGGACATGGGGACACGGACATGGGGACACCGATGGGGACATGGGGACACTGATGGGGACATGGGGACACGGACATGGGGACCCCCCAGCCCCACGATGTAGATCCCTGCGGGGACACCGACGGGGACATGGGGACAGGGACAGGGACATGGGGACACCGATGGGGACACGGACAGGGACATGGGGACACTGATGGGGACATGGGGACAGGGACATGGGGACACCCCAGCCCCATGATGTAGATCCCTGCGGGGCCACCGAGGGGGACATGGGGACACCGATGGGGACAGGGACATTGGGACACGGATAGGGACATGGGGACGGGGACAGGGACACGGAGCCCTCCCCAGCCCCACGATGTAGATCCCTGCGGGGGCCACCGAGACGGACATGGGGACAGGGACAGGGACAGGTGTTGGTGACCCCCCAGGATTTGGGGACCCCCCAGGTGTTGAGCACCCTCCCAGGTGTTGGGGACATGGTGACCCCTCAGGTTCTTTGTGACCCCCACAGGATTTTGTGACCCCCCCGGGTTTCGGGGTCCCCCCCAGGTTTTGGGGCTCCCCCGGATTTTTGTGACCCTCCATGGTTTTTGTGACCCCTCACAGGATTTTGGTGACCCCCCCCAGGTTTTTTGGTGACCCCCCCCGGGTCTCGGGGTCCCCCCCGGGTTTTTTGTGACCCCCCCCCGGGTTTCGGGGTGCCCCCCGGGTTTTGGGGCCCCCCCCGGGTCTCGGGGTCCCCCCCGGGTTTTGGGGTCCCCCCCAGGTTTTGTGACCCCTCCCAGGTTTTTTGTGCAAGCTA